TTACTGGCGCCTGCTCGAGGAAATCGATGATCAACGAGACGACAGGTGATACTGGTGATTATACTGTCATCATATTGCACGCGAATCGGAAGTCATCGGAATTGAACGACCCTCATTTTAGAAGGGTAGCACGTTATGACAACGCTCAATTCTGCGACATTGCTGATTCTAACTACACAGAAGGAAGATAAGCCTTCGAATAATGGAAGAACTAGATGTGATTTTCAGAGCAAAGGACAAACTGACAAGCTTACATCCAGGTATCAACGAATGCCAAATTTTTTTCAGTCTGTTTAAATAAGAGAAGCGCACTTATTGCAATGCCAGTATTACTCTGATCAGTCTGTTTAAATAAGAGAAGCGCACTTATTGCAATGCCAGTATTACTCTGAGCAACTCCAATCGGATACCACTCAAGTAACCTAACCAACCCGGCATGGTCCTGATAGTATGAAAAATCAAAATTGGGTGAAATGTGGGGAATGGAGTGAAAGCCATATTCTTGTAACCTGGACTGCGGGGTCTTTGCAACATGAAGCCGATGAAGAGTATGGAGGAGTGAACAGAAAATCTTCTTGATCGCTTTCTTGAACGAATTAGCGTATTCCTAGAGCTGATTCCCCCAAAAGTACCCGTGGACCGTCGCCAGTGAACACCTATCTGAGTAATTCTGTGGGAGACCCTGTGATAAACCAATCTCTACGAGTCCCAAGGGGCCATGCTCGCTTTCCAGATCTTACACCAGTTAACTCCTGCGAATGGTACCTGATTAGACGGATTTGCATACCCACTTTGGAGTCCATGCAGGCGAAACTCCAAAATGGCTGAGAAGAAATAGAGAAGGGATACCTGCGTGGAACAGCGAGGAGTCTGATTGTTAGGAGAGAATTTGGGCCCTCATCCATGCTAACTGGGTATACTCTGAAATGTGATCGTAGCTGTAGAACACAAGCAAACGTGCATAGTAAGTTTATAGATTCTATAGTCACTCTCAGATTGGAAGCTCCAAATATAATACATTGCAATAATAGGCGCCCATAATTTTGGGACACCCTGTATTATTAGCGATAACTCCGAGTTTGAATTATGAATGTTATGATGGTCCTTGGGCAGCAAGTGTTCCGAAAGAAAAACGACGATACATGCAAAAAGCTGACATACTCAAGTCTTCCGCATCAGCACAATACATCGACATCTGAAGTTTATGAGAGCAGACGTCTAACTGTAAGGAACGGGTGCAGTCGTCTACAGGAAGGATCGAGATCGCTACGAAACTGTTCAAAACGCTCATCGCTGCACAGCCGTGTGCATCATATTTCACTACTCTTTAGTGAGGCGGCAGAAACCTACATTCGTCGAAGTGACCTCCGGGAGTACTCCTGGCACACCCGGATACAGCCAAACTGTCGCTTTTCGTAACAAATTTTATACCGCTGTTGGTCCAATGGAGTTTACCTCTCCAAATATGTTTTTTCCCTGCGAATATATCGTTGCTTCAAAGAAAACGAAATTGAAAAGGAGTTTTCCGGAAGACAAACTCTATCCAATTCTCTATTAAACGATTGACTCGACGACTAAACAATTCGATATGAAGAAGTTAGTCTTATCGAGAATGAATCCATGCAGGAAACGACAAACCTTTGCTACATAGGAAGAATCCTTCCAAGAAAAATTTATTCTACTCTGTGAAGCATACAACTACTAACAGTATCACCAGGCTAAATAATTATACAAACTGCACAAACTAATCAACGAAATCAACAGACCGAAATGATTGCAGTTAGTACTCAGTGAGAATTAACAACGATGCGAAATCGCAGTATTTAACAGATATTCGATTGACACCGCTCAGCCTAGAACTTCGCTGGTTCCGGTGTTGGCTTTGATTTAAATCCAGTCAATAATGTCTTGATTTCACCAATAGCTTTTGCAGGGTTCAAGTTCTGAAATAAACCGAATCAGAGTTCACTACAAAAGAAATCAAGGCAGCTATAAGTTAACTGGCTGTCACTAGCCTTTACTCTGGAAAATGGGTTGTACATCAAGTAGCGTAGGGTTATATCATATATGCAAGTTGAATCCACAGCTATAGAAGATGCTATAAAGGAGGAAAATTCGCCGGAACTGCTACCAACTGCGCTAACATCCACGGTTGACCACCGTTTTGCCGTGAATGGTTCCTACTACGCAGTGCGTAGTTGATTTGCAACCTATGCCGTGTTAGTATTCACTGTTAGCTAATTCCTGCCGTACATCGCCTATCCGGTACGTCGCGTTACCCTGGAACCTGTGCCATGCTTATATCTACGGTAACCTATCCTCTAGTCATCTATGTTCTTCTCTCATCCAGCACTCTTCGTTATCTTCTCCCCTAGACGTTATTACCAGTAGCCTTCCTAACAACCTCCTTTGCGGTACGCACAACAAAATCTTATTATCCAGCCATACAGAAAAATATCGATAGTGAGCTTAAGTCACTCAACATTACAAGATTATATTTCAATCGTTGGAACTATGTAGTTACCTTTGGGCACGTCTTCGTGCAATTCATGATGGTGTGGCATTTGAACGCTGAGAAGGCGTCGTGCATTCGAGCGAGGCGTTCTTTGGGATAGTCATCTCGAGAATCGATGATCCATCTGCAATAGAATAACTATGGAAATAGCCAAAGGTAAACATCCTACAGTAGAGCTCCCAAGGCTGAAAAACAATCTGATATTGGATTGACCAATCAAGGCTATCGTTATCTGTTCAAAACCTCATTCATGATGTAACGGGTTGAGAAGTTTACCTCAAACATGAAGTTGCGCAGTGAATCAAGAGCGAGCGCTCATGCGGATTGAATCTACAGTATGACCTCTACACCAACTTTAGAGAAGGTCCAGTAAGAAATAAGGGCGATGGGAGGTTGTGTGGTTTACTGCTTACGAATGCAACGTCGCATCAACTCGGTTGCTGTATGATTCTTATTCTTGAGTCTATTTGATTATTACTGCTCTTAATTTAACATATATTACTGAGTTTGATACCAATCTCTATGGTTAGACTGATAAGAACGCGAAGGAGGCCCTAACAACAAAGGCGATTTCGCTAAAGTTTTGAGATCCGTATGCGCCTTTTTTAGACATTATTCTCTTCGACTGTGCCACACGATTCCTCTGACATCTGGGACCATCGTCAGTAGGCTTTTCTGTGAAACCTAGTCACGTTATATGCATACTTGAGGCAAATTCGATTTTTGCAACTTGATTTTCCTTACTCATGAGTAATGAACTTTCCTAACTGTAAAATCAAATTGTGGCCCCATGACTTATAAAGCGCAAAAACATCGAGCTCAATCTCGGTGAGATTCGGAAGAAAACTGAGGCGAGGCAATTTGCAAACAATGCACTAAGTTAGATGCCCTTTCTAACTACCAGGAACCTGTGGAATATTTTATTGAGTTGCCGACGGCTGACTTCGCAGGGCACTTAATTCCCGCAGCATCTCCACCTCTAATTCGATCCGTTTTCTACCCAACCCTACAAAATTGCCAAACATTTTTATTCTTATTTCGAAACATTTTCAGCTTCCAACCGAATGTTGAAAGCGAGCGATGAGCGACAATCAAAAATGATGCATCAGTCGAATAGTGGCGCATCCTTCTGTTTGATTACAAACTGTTCCCATCTGTCTATTTTCTCACAAGTTCTCACTCGCGATTTTTTTTTGCATAGCTTGGACATTTAAAGTGATTGTACCTGTAAGCTTGCATGAGTACAGCCGGTCCAAGGTATTTGTCAGCATTCCACCAATATGAAGGGCAGGATGAGGAACAACATGCGCACAAAATACATTCATAGAGCATATCCTATAACTTCCGTTTTGTGATTTCTTTCTACCAATCTCTTGAAATGCGA